CCAGAGTGAGACCCAGCAGTGCACACGCACAGCTAAAGCCTGGAAGATGTTCACACCTTTTGACCTCATTATTCTACATTCCGGAATTCATTCCATGGAAATAACATGGATATTCATAAAACTGGATGTTCTTTGAGACTTTTTTTTTTGTTAGAGAAAAAAATCAGAAACAATCTGAACGGTCAACGAGACTGGTAAAGAGACAGCAGACGGGGACCTATGTAAAGCTATACGGAATTGACATAGAACATTTAATGGTATGAAAGGAAGTTCATGTGGTAACAAGAGGGAAGAAACATTAAATATTAAAATCATCCACCACGATGTAAACAAGGCTTTATAAAGATGGTAGGATAAAAGACATTTTTCTTTTCCTAACATTTCCAGGGTTTTTCCCCCTGTCTGTTTAAAAAAGAAAACATGCTCACTGAACAAGAATCCAGCTTCTTTGATGAGAGGTACAAACATAAAGACAAAAAGAATGCAAAAGCATTTGATAAAATTAAATTTCATTACACGTTAGAGAAAAGCAAAGGAGCTAAAAACCATGGAAGTTGACAGTGGTTGGCATTTCTTGACACACATGTTAAAATGACTCTTCCTCCAAAACCTTCCTTTAGGACAAGTGAAGTAATTTTCCAGTGTTTAAAGAGATACTCCAGGCCAGTGCCACAGCTCACTAGGCTAATCCTCTAAATGTGGCTCCAGTACCCCGGGTTCTAGACCATGTTGGGGCGCCAGATTCTGTCCCAGTTGCTCCTCTTCCAGTCCAGCTCTCCGCTGTAGCCAGCCCAGGAAGGCAGTGGAGGATGGCCCAAGTGCTTGGGCCCTGTACCTACATGGGAGACCAGGAGGAAGCACCTGGCTTCGGATTGTTGCAGTGCACCGGCTGTAGCAGCCATTTGGGGGGTGAACCAATGGAAGGAAGACCTTTCTCTGTCTCTCTCCCTCACTGTCTAACTCTGCCTGTCAAAGAGAGAGAGAGAGAGAGAGAGAGAGAGAGAGAGAGACACTCCAGGCATCATCACTTAACTTATTATATCTAAGACAAGGAGAAGGGATTTTATCTGTGTAGTAATGAAAAGAAAGGGAAAATATTCAAACAAGTACTTAAGAGATAAAAATAGAGAGGCAGTGGGTCACCTAGGAAAAGTCTTCCTGGTGAGTAAAACCAGTGTGTGGACAGTGGGGGACAGGACACGAAGCGCCCTTGACACTGAGTTGCTCTGCTGTGTCAAAGTTCTCCTGGGAGGAACCGGACATCCTTTGGGAGGAAAGGACTTTTAAGGCACTCTGTATTTTAATGAAGCACCATTTCATTTTATTTCCACATAAAGTAATTACATATTTTTCTGAATTAAAAGCATGTAGCTCAATTATGTAATTGCCTAATAGGCTGTGTGGGCGCTGTGAAGCTCCTGTGGTCTCAAGGGGAAACAATCTGAGTTTCTGTGGCTTTGATGATGTATTTACTCAAGAGAAGGGATTGACTCCAGCTGACAGCACAGGGACCCACAGGTAAACATCATTTGCATGTGACTATTTAATTAGCCCTTTGCCCCAGAGATCAAAGTAAATAGTTCAGAGCTGCAATAGACTCTTAACCAAGTACATTCTGGTAGAGCGTTCTTAAGTTTTGAGAAATCGGTTACTTTTAAGATTTTACCTAAAAAGAGGTATTTAACCCATAGTATTTGCTATACATGTCTATTATTTCAATACTCAGAAACAACTCAATCTGTATTTTGCTGATCATAAAAGGATGATACAGAAGCCAGACAGTTCTAGAACCCACAGGAGCATGTGGTTGTGAATAAAGCTCACAAGGCTTGCCTTGCTTGTGTCATTTTTGGTAACACTGCTCTTTGGGCCTGTGCATTTCTTCCATATAGTATGTGTGTTAGAAAAATCACCTATCTACTTCCATTTTTAAAGCTACGTTTTTTTTTCCCACTAACTTATTTTTGATTCATTAGTTATTATTTGGGCAGTCCTCCTGCCCACCCCCATCACCAATGGAGGCATTGGGAAATTTATGAGTGGATTGATTGACTGAAACTTTACTCATGTTTTCTAATATAAACAATATCTTTCTTCCCGCACCCTGCCCTTTTAAACAAGGTGTTATGGGGGCCATTGTTGTGGCACAGTGGGTTAAACCACTGCCTGTGACACCAGCATCCCATATGAGCAAATTCAAGTCCCGGCTGCTCCTCTTCTGATCTGGCTCCCTGCTACTATGCCTGGGAAAGTAGCAGAAGAAGGTCCCAAATGTTTGGGCCTTTGCACCCATGTTGGAGACATGGATAGAGTTCCTGGCTTCTGGCTTCAAGCTGGCCCAGTCACGGCTGTTGTGGTCATTTTGGGAGTGAACCAGCAGATGGAAGACCTCTCTCTTTTGTTCTCTCTTTATCTCCCTCTCTCTGTGTAACTCTGACTTTCAAATAAAAATAAATACATCTTTTAAAAAGTTGAAATAGAAAAAGATGATACAACAGCAAAAAAGCATTTAACCAACACTTGATCTGTGACATGGCTGAAATGTGATATAATGCAGTGAACAAAAATGGAACACAATGCTGTTAGAAAATACAGTTAAATAAAGTAGACAAGAAAACCTAAAAACAATCTCCTTTTATATTAATCAACAGAGATGGAATGGGTCTTAACAATACAGGTTCTATTTATCATAAAGCACACTATTTTAAACAGTTATACAAATGGTATCACCCCTTGAACAAAACCAAACTATCAGCTCTTTATTAAATCAGCCATAGTGCAGTAAAATGAGAATACACAGGAAGGATATGCACAAGTTATCTTTGAAAAGGGACAAGAAGTCTATGAGGTACATGGGGCTGTGTCTACACCTGCAATAATTCACTTTTTCCCCCGAAGGAAAAGGGGTGGAGAAGAGGGTTGGGAGAGGAGAGGAGAGAGAAGAGGGAGAGAGAGCAGAACGCAGGAGGGAAGGAGCGGAGGGGTGTGAGAATGAGTAGGAGGAGATCTGAAACAAGTACAGTGCAAGGAAGGCAATGCACAACACCGAGCCCCAGGCACGGGAGGCGCAGTTCATCCCAGCATTACATGAGCACAGCTTTCCAAAGCTCATGGCCACGCCCAGTATAAAGAAACTAAGCAGTCTTCAGAAAGTTTAGGATCAAAATAAAGTTACTGTTTATTTCTCTTTTTCCATGAACTTTCTTAAATACCCTTGTTTATATGCTTGAAATGCGAAAAATAAAAATTTACAGAAAGGTCCTTGTACCCTCTTTCAGCTAGGGGGGTGAGGTTCGGGGACAAGGTGCTCTGAAAGGCCTGGGGGGCCCCTTCTCTTGCCTGAACCTCGGCAGAAATCCCTGCTCCCCCTTACTTCAGTCCTACTCCAGAAAGACGGAATTCTGTAAGGCACCGCAGAAACCACCCCGGAGCCCTGCTCCAAAGGCTCCGGCGGCACCTCCAAACCTGCAACACTACACACCACCTCCCCAGCCTTCGGCCAGTCAGTGCACAACTCAGCCTGAGACTACCTGGTGGACTTCAGTTCCCCAGCCACAAGGGCAGCTCCTCTGCCTGGACATGTGCTGGGTTTCTTGGTTTGTTCTATTATTCGTCTGCCCCTCTCTCGCACTCTAACCTTGTCAAAAGCCTGTCTACACCTTTTCAGGGTCACTCACATCCATCCCAACATCTGCCCTTGATGCTTCTCCTGATGGCTTGGCTCCCTTTTCTGAGGAGCCACATTCACTGGCATTTCTTTTTTTTTAGATTTATGTTATTTATTAGAAAGACAGAGTTAGAGAGAGAGAGAGAGAGATCTTCAATCCACTGGTTCACTCCCCAGATGACCACAACAGCCAGAACTGAGTTGATCCAAAGCTAGGAGGCGCCAGGAGCTTCTTCCAGGTCTCCCACAGGGTGCAGGGGCCTAGAGACTTGGGCCATCTTCTACTGCTTTCCCAGTCCATAGCAGAGAGCTGGATCAGAAGTGGAGCAGCCGACACATGAACTGGTGCCCACATGGGATGCCGGCGCTGCGGGCTGGGGCTTTAACCCGCTGAGCCACAGCACTGGCCTCATCACTGCCACTTTCTTATAACATGCACTCCACTGAGTCATCCCTCAGAAGGAAGGAGCCACATTTTATTTATCTTTCTCCTTCCAATGGATTTGGGCTACTACCTGGGACAATAAGGGATCAATATATATATTTGCTGTATTGATATAAATTACAGTAATTTATATTTTTTAAAACATTCTGACAATCTTTTTTTTAAGTTTAAATTTATTTGAAAGGCAGAGCGAGAGCATAAGGAAGAGAGAGAGAAAGAGAGAGGATCCTCCATCCACTGTTTCACTCTCCAAATGCCCCCAACAGCCCTAGCTGGGCCAGGTCAAAGCCAGGAACCAGGAACTCAACTTGTATCTTCCATGTGGGTGGCAAGAACCAGAATGCTTGAAACATCGTCTGATGCCTCCCAAGAGCACCCATTAACAGGAAGCTGGATTACAAAATGGAGATGGGACTCAAGCCCAGGCACTCTGAAATGGGACATGGGCATCTCAAGGGGCAGCTTAACTCACTGCACCACAATGCCTGCCCTTGCATAATATTGTTAATGCGTGGAATGAAGCCAGAAAACCAGAATGTTCCAAGATGCTCCCACGTTCCCTAGAAAGTGTTATGACAGACATGTATAATCAAGTTATCTCTGGAACCTAAAGTAATACTGTGCCAGAGGTTAGGAATTCTATATAAAATGTTAGGTAAAAGGTGCGAGACCAGGAAGTTAGAAACCAACCAACCGCAAAGCCTTACTGACTACTCTTCTTACCATCATTTTTTTCAAATATTTTAATTATCCTTAAGAGTAAAACTGTTTGCCCCTGTTTCCTCAAATGAATAACTTGTACATCTTGAAACTCATTGAAAAAAATCCTACCCCTTGTTTGGTCCACATTTTTGACTGGATGAAACTTCAGGCAGTTTAGCTACATACCTCTTGTTGGGGAGAATGAGCACGTTCTTTCAAGGCGGCCACACAACACTGTGCCTGCAGTAGGCCCGAGTCTGAGGCTTGTTTAGATCTGTAAAACAGATTCAGGAGGCAGACACATCACAGACCGGTAGTATGGGATTATGTATCAGACTTCCACATTTTTAAAGGCCTAACCATCAAGTTAGGAGAAGACAGCTCATCCAAAAAGTCTGGAACTTAACATATTCTGGACTAAGGTAATTTAGCAACTTTGCACACGGAATCACCTGGGCAGCTTTGCAAAGTCTGAGTGCCTCGGACTACTCCTCAGAGTCTAGTGAAATGGCCTGGCTGCTTGGGATTTGGGGTTTCTTTCTCAGGGCTCACACCGTGATTCTAAAGTGTAGCTATGGTTTTGAATCACTGTATAAATGTATTTATGAGAAAAAGATCATATTCTCATGGCAATCTTATTTTTTTTTTGGTCTACTCACAATTAAAATGAAAATTAATACTATTACGAAAGAACTAAAAAGCCTTACATGGTTGCCTACGCTGTCACATTTGAATACTCAAAGGAACCAGGAATCCTCTGAAGAAGTGCCCTCTTCTAGTCTTGAGGCAGGAAATGTAGATCTTGTTATCCCAGAAAATAAGGAAGTTCTTAGCTTACTAAGTCATGTCAAAAGGACCCAGGAGCTCTCTTGAAGGGATTCTCACTGGCCAAACATGGAACAATTCAAGCACCAAAAAGAATAAAGTCTGCTATGGACTAAAACAGCACATAGATGAAAATCCACAAGTTCACATAAAAGTAAATAATACAAATTTGAGAAAATAAAAACCTGTGGATTCAGCCTTAAAAAGGGAACACATTCTACAACACGGATGAACCTTGAGGATGTCATGCAAAAAGAAATAGCCAATTACAAAAAACCAAATACTGCTAATTCTGCTTATATGAGGTACCTGAGGAGTCAAGTTCACAGAAAGGAAAGCAGAAATTCTACTAGAGAAAGCAGACTGGGATTGCTGGGACCTCCAGGAAGACAGAAATAGGGAGTTGCTTAATGGGTCTCCAGTTTAAGCTTTGCAAGACAAAAAAAGTTCTAGAAACCTGTTGCACAATACATGACTTCACTTAGCTTCCTGAACTCCACAGTTAAAAATGATTAAGATGGGAGCTGGTGTTGTGGTGCAGCAGGTAAAGCCGCCACCTGCAATGCTGGCATAGCATATCACAGAACCGGTTCCAGTTCCAGCGGGTCTGCTTCCTACTCAGCTCCCTGCTCATGTGCCAAGGAAGGCAGCAGAAGATGCCCAAACACTTGGACCCCTGTCATCCAGGCAGGATACCTGGATGGAGTTTCTAACTTCAGCCTGGCCCAGTTCCAACTGTCTTGGTCATCTGGTGAGTGAACTAGCAGATGGAAGATCTCTCTCTCTGTTTCTCCCTTTCTCTGTAACTCTGCCTTTCAAATAAATAAATAAATCTTTTAAATAATGATTAAGATGGTGGCCAGCGCCATGGCTCAATAGGCTAATCCTAGGGAGGGGGGGAGGAAGGAAGGGAGGGAGGGGGGGGGAGGGAGGAAGGAGGAAAGAAGGGGGGAGGGAGGGAGGGAGGGAGGGAGGGAAGGAGGGAGGAAGGAAGGGAGGGGGGAGGGAGGAAAGAAGGAGGGGAGGGAGGGAGGGAGGGAGGAAGGAAGGGAGGGGGGAGGGAGGAAAGAAGGAGGGGAGGGAGGGAGGGAGTGGGGGAGGAAGGAAGGGAGGAGGGAGGGAGGGAGGAAGGGAGGAGGGAGGGAGGAAGGAAGGGGGGAGGAAGGAAGGGGGAGGGAGGGAGGAAGGGAGGAGGGAGGAGGAAGGAAGGGGGGAGGAAGGAAGGGGGAGGGAGGAAGTGAGTGAGGGAGGGAGGGGGAGGGAGGGAGGGAGGAGGAAGGAAGGAAGGAGGAAGGAAGGAGGAACGAAGGAAGGAAGGAAGGAAGAAGGAAGGAGAAGGAAGGAAGGAGAAAGGAAGGAAGGAGAAAGGAAGGAAGGAAGATGGATGCCTTCCATCTGCTGGTTCATCCTGAAATACAACAGCCAGGAGCCGGTAATGCAATCCAGGTCTCCCATGTGCGTTGAAGGAACCAAGTACTTGAGCCATCACCAGCTGCCTCCCAGGATATGTGGTAGCAGAAAGCTGGATTACAAGTGGAGGAGCTGGGACTTGAACCAGGCACTCTGATGTGGGGTGTAGGAGTCCCAAGCAGCAACTTAAGCACTACACGAAATGCCTGCCCCAAGACTGATTGTCACTCCAGCCAACTGCTACTACACTGTGGGTGCTGACATGAAGAATTAGCTAAGGTTTCCTACAATTATTATACTGCTTTCCCACAAAGGGATAAAACCCATTAACTGAGTTGCTCGGGATCAAATAGCAAAGAGTTGAAGGAGGTATGGCATCTAGGTCTGTGACTTCTGAACAGCTAAGCCAACTTCTAAAAGCACAAAACCAAGCTTTATTTCAGGACAGATTAGGAAAGAAGTGCAAGAGGCACGGCAGTCCTTGAATGGTGTCTCGACTACGGTTCTATATAAACATCCTGAATCAGAAAATTGGCTAAGTGGTACCCAGGATTTAAAGAAATTTTTCTCTCTTTTGTTTACTTGGAAACTACTCAACATCAATGCCATCTAAAAATGATAAAATTTGATGTCATCTATTTATACACTCTTGAATTAAAAACAACAAAATATACTTAGTTTATAATTAATTTCACCTACTGAAAATGACTTCTAATCCAAAAACATTTGTATCAGCATTTTCTAACTACAAGTGATTTACCACAGGTTAATAATTTGTCCAAAGATTTAAATGCAAAGTAATAAATACCTTGATTTTTATTTTGAATTAATATAGGTAGACGTAAAATAAAGAGCTTTTTGCATATTGTAATCTAAACAATATACGGTGGCTCAATTTTTAAGCCTGAGTTTAAGAGCATAATCCTATCAGAAAGCTGCCACCATCAGGATGCAATGAGGTGCATCTGAGAAAAAGTATTGTTGTGTTCATTTTTGATAAAGCTACTTAGGTAGTAATTGTCTTGATGCTAAGCATGTTCTCCAGAGGCAATACTGGGGAAATACTTTAGCAATTACCCCAAACGACAGGAATCATATTTTAATAACTTGTTAACTATCTAAAATGATAACTCGGTCCTGCAGCTGATAATGGTAAGCCTTTCACATGAAGGTCTTTGAATGCTTAACCCTTGAAGTAACGTAAGTCAACAGTGATGACGGGAGTAACTTTGTTCTGTTTCCTTCTCATGAAGCTTCTCCTTGTGAAGATTTCAGAAATTTGAGAAATTCAGAACTCTTCATATTATCCTCTCGTGTATGCTATGGGGCAAAGGCAGACTGAATAGGCAGACGTTTGCCATGCGTTGGTCAGGGCACCAGCAGGGCTGCTAGCAGCCACAGCAAACACAGCTCTAACTCAGGAGGCCATACGGATTTCATAATCTGTTAAGAGTTGGCCCTGCCTGGCTTAGAATTCCCCGTTGACATCAGAGTCACTAACAATTAAAGAACAAAAGCAGACCATTCACTCCAAATCAGTGTTTCTCGGATGGTTTTACAAACTGTCAGCTCATGGTGTGGGGCCAAGGAAAGAAGGTAAAGCAGTTAAGAACACTGCACTTCAGGCAGTCCCAGCAGGAACTCCTGGGTGCTGGGTGCCTCTGGAGCAGAGAGCGCAGGAGGGAGTCTGGTTAAAGACCTGACTGCTCATCTCTCAAGGGTCATAATAAACATGTGGCACTTTTCCAAGCCAGGGATAATCAGTGTGCATTAACCAGCATCTTCGGTCACAACATATATAATTTCCATTCAACAGAACAAAACACTGACTGTGGACACTGTTCCTGACTTCTTTATCCGGCTTTGAAAAATGACTGTGGTAAAGAAACAGTCTTGAAGATTCCAGATAGTAATTTGAAAATTTGTGTTGGCCATAAAGAAGGATCATTTCTTTTGGAAGGCTGATTTATACACAACTGTAGACCCACAGTCATGTAAAACACAACCTTCCATAATGGAAACGAAAGCTCTACCATGAATGCTGAGAAATAATTGCTAGTCTAGTAAATGCAGACCTCATATCTTATCACCCACAATCCAAGTTTGGCAGCCCAGCTTAAGAGAGTCGTACAATCCATCATTCAGTATAACAAGTCAGTTTGCACAGAAAATTATAATTGCATATATGCTTTCCACGCCACACACCACAACAGTGGTTTATGCCAAATAGTATTTAAACAGACATAAAACGCAGTGAGAAAGACCTAGGACATCGGCTGAAGACTCTTGCAACACATAAGCACCAAACTACCGAAGGAGCTCAGAGATTCCTCCTCAGGCTGGATTCTTCTACCACCTTGTCAAGTTTTTTTTGTTTGTTTGTTTGTTTGTTTTTGACAGGCAGAGTGGACAGTGAGAGAGAGAGACAGAGAGAAAGGTCTTCCTTTTGCTGTTGGTTCACCCTCCAATGGCAAACCGCGGCCAGCGCACTGTGGCTGGCGCATCGCGCTGATCCGAAGCCAGGAGCCAGGTGCTTCTGGTCTCCCATGTGGGTGCAGGGCCCAAGGACTTGGGCCATCCTCCACTGCACTCCCGGGCCATAGCAGAGAGCTGGCCTGGAAAAGGGGCAACCAGGACAGAATCCGGCGCCCCGACTAGGACTAGAACCCGGTGTGCCGGTGCCGCAAGGCGGAGGATTAGCCTATTGGGCCGTGGCGCCGGCTGTCAAGTTGTCTTTTAAGACTGCAATTTTTTATTTTGCATGGTTAAAAATACAAAAGAGGGTGTTCTTGCGCTACTCTTTACTGCCTTAGTCTGAAAAGCTACTGACTTGAAAAATCATTTCCAGCATCTTCCACAGTTCGGTGACCATTAGTGCAGATTCAGAAGGTAATGGAAAGGGAGCCACCAGATTAGTTTTCTTGTGACAAGGCTCCTTTGGAGACTATTATCTTGAATTTTACCCACTCCTTGATGGACTCCAACACTTACTATATTTCAGTTGAATTCCATTCCCTATTTATAGCATTAACATAAAAC